TTAACATCTTTGCCCTCCAGGATGTCCTTCTTGAGACTAGGCGGGACAACATGCGATGGTTAATGACCATTGGAACATTTGGTGAAAACAAAGATTATCTGGTGCAGTGTGTGTGAGGTTCTAACCGGGAAAGTTTTGGAAGATCTAGCGAGTACCATAGGGGAGCTACCGGATCCTAGGCAGGACAAAACTCAGGCGCCACCTTTAAAACTGAACCTGGCGACATAAGTGATGAAATACGTAGATATTGACATATCTAACCTTTTGCAGTCGTTAGGGCGCCCCGCATTGCCGTAATACCCAAACCTCCGTAGTCTAAGGGAATTCCCTTTAATTTGTATGAAATGTAATTAGATAGAGCGTATGGCGTTCGGGAGAAGGCATGCAAAACGCTCTAACACTTCAATTGTAATTGTGTAGTGTTCGCTAGAATAACTGTTCGTCTGTAACAGTGCAAAACCATGCGAAGTGGAGCCTTAACATACAAAAGGAGCCGAACGAATTAACATACGAATGGGTAACGAAACAGACCAAAGCAGAGATGACGCCATGGGACCGAGGCGTGCCTGCTGGGCCTATAGCTTATTGTTCAGCTGACAACTTCTGGGTCAGTCTCCTTCGAGCTGGAGCAGGAAGCGGGCTGGACATGGTCAGTGAGAAGACAAGTAAGCCGAATAAACGATTTTACTAGCGGCCAGTATCAATGAAACCGGACCACGAGGGAAAACAGGTAACAGCAAGATGGCAACTTGTGAGTGACCAGAATTCTTCTCCTGCAACTCGCCAGGCCCATAACGGTGTGAGAGATAGTGTAGGATGCCCTTTTAAAGGGGAACCAAGCCCCTCCCACAACTACAGGACCAGCCTTAAATATATATGTAACTAAACCATATATATATAAAACTTAGCATATATATGATAACATTTTGGTTACTAGTTGATTGACAGGAAAGTGCTTTCGGTTAAAGTGTCCTGATAGTTCCGCTAATGTGTTGGTAAAGTCTCTTTGGCAAGATTGTGACAGCTTAAAATTGAGTGCTAAATATAAGGTATAGGGTATTTTTCACAGATTCAATTATGGTAGAAGTGCTCTCAATACTGGCTTATTGTCGATAAAAATAGCATTTGAGATTGTAATTTCCCTCTTTGTTAGAATATCTATTACTAGTGGAGGTCAATAATGGAAGGTGACTGGAAATATCGATTCTTATTTTATTTTTTTTGTCATTCAAAATTTTTATTTAGGCACAAAGCTTAGGTGAACAATAGTAACAAAAATAAACACAGGCAAGTAATGATTATGGATGAAGCACAATAGTTGGAAACGGAGCTATGATGACTGGAGAAATTGCCATTTCCAGCAATGTGAAAAGACATAACATGTACAATGATTCTCTAATGGTTTTAGTAACATAAAAATATAATAGCCTCAAGAGCTTACATTCTAGCTATTGTAACCAGACATAAAAAAAATATACCGTATAGAAAACATGTTTTAGAAGCAAATACAATGCACATGCAGACTCGGCCGTGCTGCAAACTTGCGTCTCTGGGCATTATTGAAGCCAATGAAAGTATCGTCTTTACCTAAGCATTTTCTACTTCCTTACCAGGGTTTTATATTTCCTACTCCAACAGATTTCCTTGAGAGGAAACTGTGATGACCTCTACAGAGAATGAGAGCACAGCTGGGTAAGCCTTAGCCAAATGCTCATTTATGTCTTTGCAGGAAAAATGCCTCAACCACTAGACTGATTGTAATGTAATATGAACATGCTCAAGTGTACATTGTGTGGCAGTATTGAGTGGTGCTGTAGGGCTAAACAAATCCAGCGTTCTCCGTTTGAAGGAATATAGAGTTTCAAAAGTGCTATAGAAAAAGATGTAGTAACGTAAAAAAAAAAACAACAAAAAACATTTATACCGCTGTTGTACGTAGAATTACATATCCCACAATGCTCTGTCAGGCTCAATGCTGATAAAGAAACATGGCAGTTATTTTAAATATATGGAGGCTGAATACAAACACATATATATACCTGTAAAACAATATGAAGGGTTTTTAAAATTATGCAAAAATTATTAAACTGCAATGAAGGTGATACAACATAAAGGAATTGTAAAAAAAAAAAAATGATGATATATTCTAAACAATATATAGACCTCAGATTAAACATTATATATAATAGTATAGTGCTGAAGCTCCAATGTACAAAATAAATAATAGTATATATTAAATATGATAGAATAGTAGTATCCAAATGGATTTGTGCATGGCCACTTCATAATGGGCAGGAAAACACCTTAGGTTTGTATGCATTTGTTGGAATGCTAAAAAAGCTGATGACTATGGTTGTGATAAATTTAAAGCAGGTTTATCACTTTCAGAGGTCTCTACATAGTTTGCATAAATACCCGACAGTGACATGCTCACTTTGTGTGCGGCAGTTGGGAGAAGAGGAAGTGGCGTACTTAATGTAGGTTTGAGCTGTATAGAATTTACGTTGCCTAGGTGCATATTCACGTGGGTTGACAAATATACATAGCGTTTATCGACTACAGTGTGAATTGCTGAGAAGTCAAAGTGACTTTAAAATTAGGGATATAACCACTAGGGGGCAGGAGCAAAGTATGGCTAGAATGCAGAGCACGGACCATGCCAGATTACCTGACCTAACGTGGTTTTGCGCTCTTTCCTCTTCCTCACCGAAAGTTGAACCTAAAGCACTACATTACCCAATATAAAGCAGTTATAAGATGATCAAACAAAGGACCTGCGAGTCCATTACTACTGCGGGCATGCGTGCCCAGTTGTCATGACACGTTACTCAAAGTTATACTTAGCACATGTTGTGCTCCCATTGCCATAATTACTATGCCAGTAGAGAGCTGCGAGTCTCATTGGAGCCTGTTATTGATTGAATTGCAAATAAAAAAAAAATTAGGGATATACTGATTATCAGTTCTGTCAATTATTAGAGCTGATATCCAGCATATTTCTGATAACTGGTATCAGTCTTGGAATTTACTGATATGATCGATCATTTGCTCACCTCTCCCAGGCCCCACACACCATCTTCAACATTCAGAAACTCCAGCTACCAGCCAATGAGGTGCCACGTCATCCCTCCCTGTGAGACCTTACATGTGGAGCTCAGCTGAAGGCAGGGAGGTGAGACAATGAATAATCTACTGCAGGGATAGGCAACCGTCGGCACTCCAGATGTTGTGGACTACATCTCTCATAATGCTCTTACATCCATCATACTGGTGAAGCATCATGGGAGATCTAATCCAAAACATCTGGAGTGCCGAAGGTTGCCTACCCCTGATTCTACTGTAATGTACAGGGTTGTCTGTCTGAGAGTGATAGAGTGTGATTGTTCTCAGCAATACACTCCTATCAGTTACAGCACAGTACATGCTGGGATATCCCATCTCTAAAAAAATATCTGTTGATTCCTAATCTCAATTTCAGGCCACAATAGCCAATTTAAACATTCTCAATAATTGGTTTCCATTAGACTATTTTAGCCTAAAACATTAAATTATTTTTTAATTTACTGGTTCATAGTGAAATTGAAAAAAGATCAAAACAAAATCCTATTGTCACATAAGATTTAGTGACACATATCTCATCTGGGTGCCAGAAAGGATAGATGATTATGTGCATTTAACTAACCAATATCCCTTGAAGAAATAATCAAGAAAGCAAAATCCATGTCCCTCTGACCAGCTGCCCCTTTGCCAATATCCTGATTCATTGTTTGCCTATTAAACCAACCACCATATCCATCCTACAAAAAAAGAAACAAAAAAAAAACAAGAGCAGAACGCAGTTGTGAGGAATTAATATTTCCAAAATCAGGTATTGGGGTTTAAGATCCTGAGAAGTCAAAATACCCCAAATATGTCACATTAAAGTGACATGCATCTCTTAGTCTCCCTATCTTCTCCCTTGTCGAGATGTTGCAAGGCAAAGAGATTGTCCAATTGACATGCTCAATGCACTTTTCCAGCATTCCTAGGGATAGAACACTGATTGTTATACTGTATCAGTTTTCCTAGAATGGGTTTGGAAAGCATAAGAAAGATGTGGGTACAGATGAAAAGAAAAAAACATTTACCTGTTTTTTCAGCCTGCAGTATGAGGAAACTGTCTCATTCAAAGATAAAGCTTTTGAATGAGACCGTTGTCTCAAAGTGATGCATTTTCCCTTTCACATAATAGCAAGTTAGTACATGCTCAGTGTGTTGTTTTACAAACGAATGAGCTGCACGTTAGGAAACTCAAAAAGTTATTCATTCATTGCCAGATAATAAAGTAAAATATTAATGTCAAAATGTAAGTTTAAATAGCAAAGCACTGACTACAGCGGAGTTGGGAGAATTTATTTCATAGCATCTTTTGCCTGTTTTTTTAACATTCAAATTTAAATTCACTATAATTCGGAGTTTAGTGCATAAACCCTACAAAGTGTGGCAGTTATTCACTAAGCTGGCAATCGTCAGGAACTGGAGAAGGAATGATTTGAGTCAAATTATATGAATTGTAAAATTCTCCAACTATAATTTGTTATTTCGTTCTACAATTTCCAATTCCCTAATTCAACGAAATACCCAGTTTAGTGAATAAACCCTCCAGAGTAGCTGGATATCAGCCTTCTATACCTATACCTGAAAAAGTGAATCTAACACTGGCGTAACTTTAAATAGCCACGGCTTACTGCTCAATACATTCAGACTATTAATATTTTTTTTGTCATTTTTAAATCACACTTTGATATATAGATATATATATATATATATTTCTCATCATGAAATGTATCACACTAGCCACAGCATAAACTGATGTTAAAAGAACCCTTGCATTGTGTTTGATAATAATAATAATAATAATAATAATAGGATTGGGACATGTTTCCCTGAACAAAATGGCAGCCTGCTGTCACCAGTGACGTCACCGGCCGCCATTTTGAGACCTTAAACATGGAGCCAGGATGGTTCACGTAGTATTAATCCGCTTGGTCATTGCTCTTCGTATTCGCCCATTCATTAATCGACCCCCACCCCACCTCCTGTTACCATGGCAAACGGATGTATCACCAGCTCGAGGCCGGTTTAAAAAAGCCAGCCACGCACAGTGTAATGTTACAGAAATGGCAGCCGGGCTCTGGAATAGCTCGGGTTTAACGGCCTCCATTAGGTCCGAGAGACCCGCGTTCAAACACGGAGAGCCCTGTAAACCAATTACTCCCGTGCAAAGCGTCTTTGCAAGTCTTAAAATGGCGGATGGGGATCAGGCCGTGGTCTCAGCGTTCCGTCTGGGTTGCTATGGCAACAGAGATGGGACGCGCGTTTGGCGGCCATCTTTAATGAGGGCAAGGGGAAACTTCACTAGCACAGAAAAAAAAAAAAAAAGAAACAAAGACTGGAAATGGCATTGTTGTGCAGCTTTTGTTTCCAGCAATAAATGAATTGTAACTACCTGTATATACAGTCATCACTATGTGGATTTGAATATGTGCAGTAATTAAGCCACAAGCTGAATGCCATGTATAAATCAAGGAATATGTTGGATTTGGTTGACCTTTATCTTTTTTTCTGCAATGATTTTCCTGGCTTTATCAAATTGTTGTTTCTCCTTAACTGTAGGTGGACTGGGTGGTGACTACTATTATATGAAGGGACCTAGTAGTAAGAAGAAATGAATGAACCAAACCCATCTGCTGCTATCTCCATGGCAACAGGAACTACCAAAACAATACTATGAAGCAGAGGGTGGCCAAAAGGTAGAGCCTAAGATGTTGTAGAACTATAACTCCCAATATGCTTTGCCATTGTAAAGGCTGGCAAAGTATAATGGGAATTGTAATTCAACATAATTCTTGAACTCTATATTTTGCCAATAAAGAATTCACTATATAACTGGCCATGTGATAGATACTATTGAGTGGTGCTACTACAAAAAGGATAGGTGTCATTAGAGCTGCCAGATCCATCATGTTTTCCAGACATACACTAACCCTTCATGCCCATGAGTTGTACATGAAAAGGTGTTGCCTTGCAGTATGTGACATTCAAAGCTGTAATGTGGGAACTGCATGGAATATTCAATGTAGCTCCTTTGGAGTTCATCCTCCAGGATGGATTCATAGATCGGTTTATTTTGGTATGTGGCATTCAATGCTGCATTGGGGAACTGCTTAAAATATTCATTGTAGCTCATTTAGAGCTCATCCTCCAGGATGGATAAATCAATTTACAATTGGATTTCTTTTAGTATGTGGTATTCAGTGCTGCAATGGGGGAATTGCATGAGATTTTTAATGTAGCTTCTTTGCAGCTCATCCTATATGATGGACAAATTGATTCATAAATGGGTTGTTTTTGCATGTGCTGCTCACCAGGATGCAGGAAAACGTTGTGTACGTAGCAATCCTAGTACTGAGTTTACAAATATAAGTAATAAAAACCAAAACAAACACTAGGCACAGCAAGAAAAGTCCATAAAATATCTAGCACTGACATGCAAACATCCCCTGTGTAAATAGTGTCAATACAGACAGCCAGTTAACTGAGACACGAGCCCACACATAGTTGTGGGATGTGTTTGGGGGGGGGTCTGACTAGGTCAGCAAAGACGTCAATTGCTCAGGGTCGCTTTCAGCATCTTCAACTCCTATTTATGGCAAATCTTGCCCTCAACAAAAATGGAGGCCGGCGGCGTCAGCAGCGCGCCACGTGACCAGGGCACCCTCTCCTATTGGCTCAGAGCGTGGCCAGCTGTTCTAGACACTGGCTCCTTATCCGCCGCATTTTACCACCTCCTCTAGGCTGCTGCCGATAAAGCGTGCTCCCCCCTCTGCGCTGCCGTGATTCACCAGCATCCTGCAGTCATGGACGTGGTCAACCAGGTGAGAGAAGGGCGAATTGGGGGCTTTAATAAGGGGTGGGGGGGTGGGGGGAGAAATGACAGACAGGGTGTTATTGGGAGCCAGGGGGCAGGCTGGCAGGGAGAGCTTAGATGGCAGAGGGATCAAGGAGAAGGGACAGATGGAGGGATGGGAGGGTATAGGGAGAGGAAAAAATATATAGGGAGGAGGGGTAGAGAGGGAAGGATAGGAAGGAGGTGAAGGAGAGAGAGAAGGGGGGGATGTGAAAATCATACCAACACAAATGTACAGATATTACATATAATTCATATTATTATTATTAATATAGGTCATCATGTTCATAGAGACATGTCCAATTTGAATCATTCCCTCTGTGTGTCTAGCTACATACCCCCCCAAAAATGCATATATATTTAATACATACTATGCATTATCTATACTATATTATATATATATATATAATATATATATATCTCTGCAAACACACACACATATCAACACATATAGATAGTAGATAGATAGATAGATAGATAAATAAATAAATAGATAGATAAATAGATAGATGATAAATAGATATAACACACAGATGCATACATGCTTTAAATGTATGAATTACATCCACTGCATATTCACAGCTAACTGAATCGTCACGCATATACAATGTATCACGTTTAGAGGCCATTTAGAATCTTGGATTGTGTAGTATATTTTCTCTGTGCTTTGTACTGTAATGCACACATGTGTCAGCACTGGTGGTATTGTGTGTAAGAGGGAGGGTTGTATGTTGAGATTTCTGTGTCCCCCTTCTTGCTGTATGTGGGTGTTGTGTAGGGGATGTTTACTGGAGCCTGCTGTGTGTCTTAGCTGTGACACTGTGTATCTGTGCTGTGTTTGTATATTGAGGAGAGGTCGGCATTTCAGCACCCTGGACAGGGAAACAGCAGGTGAAATCATGTAAGAAGGACTGTCAAGCTGCCTGTCTATTCTAAATGTTTATTCTATGTCCTTCAGCTGGTGGCAGGGGGTCAGTTTCGGGTAGTGAAGGAGCCTCTGGGATTTATCAAAATTCTGGAGTGGGTGAGTCTCGATCTGTAATATTTACAAACGTATCCATTTGTCATTGATATTATGTTCATTTAAATGTGTCAGAAAATTGATTTTTATTCTTTTTAAATTAATGCAAATTTATACTGGATTTTCAGGGTAGGCCCCTGCATTCTGTAAGATACATTTTTTTAGTGTATTTGATTACTCTTTTTTGTCAGGCCTGTATAGCTATTGGTTGCATTTCTATTTTTCCCCTATTGTAAAATAACTGAAACCTGGAAGCATTTAATTATGCATTATTTAATTGGGGATATATCTAAAAACACCTTGCAAACCTGCAGATTTTGCAAGCCCTTCCCTTCTAACCCCACCCAGACTTTCAGTGGCTGTCCAATCACAGACTTCCCAATACAGCTCAATGAGAAATCTTTGCTAGGCAGGTGCTCTGGGCCTCTTGAGTTTAGCTTCATTGAGCTAACCAAACCAGGAAGTAACAAGACCCTTTTTTGATTGACAGCCAGACGGGTTGTAGCAAGGTTAATTTATAAAACTGTCAGTTTCTATTAAAATTTGCACTTTTCCTATAATGAGGAAAGAGAGCAAAGGCTATTTACACATAAAGCACTTCAGAAAGCTAAAGTGCCATAGGTATTTGGAGTATTCCTTTAATTAAACTGGGAACACACAAGGAAATTGATAATTTTAGGGCAAAATAGCTAAGATGGTAAATTATCTGAATTAGAGAATGTTTGCAATTTTTATATTTTGGCTACAAGTTTACAATTACCTTAAAGGGGCAGTCTAAGCACCATAACCATTACTGTGAATTGTAGTGGTTGTTGTGCCAGGGGTCCTGCTTTCCCAGTTCAATTCGACTTTGACAATTTCAATTTTGACCTACTTTGGACACCATTAATTGGCTGAAATAATGGAGATTTTGAAAACATAAATGGCAGAGGAATTTAAAAATCATACATTTTTAAGAGATATATCTACTTTATTATCAACAAATTATTTTTTTGCAAACAACATAAACAGCTTTTCCGGTGCTAATTTGCTCTTATATACAGATTTATAAAATATGAAGAAAAAATATTTGAAGTGTAGACTTTACAGTTCTCTTTGGATAATTTATTTTATTTCCATTCAAGAATCACTGTCATATTAATATTATTATTGATATTTATAAAATTCATACCTATTACTCCTAGAGTAATACCAATTCATCTATTCATCACTTATACACACTATCTATCTATCTATCTATCTATCTATCTATCTATCTATCTATCTATCTGTCTCTATCCATCTCCTTCTATCTATAAAAATAGTGTACAGATTTCTTTCTGTGAGTCCCGAGAGCTGTGTGCTCTCACACCCTGGGCTACACTGTAATCCTCTTTATTTTGTGCCATTGCCAAGGCTCTAAAAATACCCCTTTGTATCTGTGGAGATGCTGTAGGTCATAGTCCTGCTCCGGATTATCACCAGGATAAAACCAGTGCAGTCTGCCCACTGTGAGCCCACACAGAGATAGACAGACATCACACACAGCCCAGTCTGCACTCTGCTGTTCCTTAACGTAATTATTGTTACAGCGCCCGGAAACAACATTCCAAAAATTGTGAACAATCTATTTTGACGCCAAGGTGCTAATTCTTAACCAGTTATTAGCTTAGAGATGTAAAACAAAAAAAAGTATCATTCAACCTTTGGCAATCTAATAGTAATACTTTATGCAATTATCATGGATAATCCTTGGGTCTGAGTGTCTAGCTTGCTGTAATAGTGGCTAAGCATCATGGGAAATGTAGTCCACAACCCCTGGATTAGGTTAGCCTTCCCTTTTCTATGGGCACATGATTCTGTTCTAGAATGTGCTATAGAGTGGTTAGTAAATATGAGCCTGATTATCTTACACCCACTCCCCATCATCTTAAGGTTTGGCAGCAGAATAGGGAGACATATTGTGCCTTCCTGCTGATGTAACGTTACACCGAAGATCTTGTTTTTGCATGCAGTACTCTTAAAAGTGAGTTAATGCTTTGTTAACCAGCATCCGCTCAATGCTGCTTAATGCATAGTTACCAGTAGACTTCTCACCACTGCATGTGCTAGAGGCACCCCACCGTGTTCCCGTGGCAGCACTTTTTAATGAGATATGACTGTGGAAAAACGACGTAACTAATGATTGAAAATAAACGTTGTCACATATGAAATGAGAAAAGTTATTGATTTGCTTCTTGCTTTTTCCCTGTAATTTCTTTACACATATATTATGATCTGTATGTACTAATCCATACTTAAGGGAACAAAGGGAGATCCTTTTTTGGATAATATTTTATCTAGAGAGCATCTAGCTCTCATCTTTTTAACAATTTATGTTTAGTGGTTGTTTGACATTTACATTTATTTACACAAGGTGATAATTTATAATTTGGGTGTTTAAATATATTTCGTTTCATTTTGTTCTACAGTAACTAATAAACGTTAAGATTTATCAAATATACACTTTAAGTGCTCCTGATAATTAGGGACAAACTATTGTCCCCTCAGAAACTCCTGCCTTTGTTCGCTTAAGTATTGATTCAAAATAAAGGGGTTAACCCCCACTCAGGAGTATATACTTCTATTTGCGCAATTCTTGATTAGTATGTACTAATCCTTTTCAGATGCCCCTATGTCCCTACTCTAATATCCATGTTATGTTTTAGGGCAGGGGTAGGCAATCTTTGACACTCCGGATGTTGTAGACTACATCTCCCCTGATGCTTTGCAGCCATTATGGCTATAAAAGCATTATGGGGTATGTAGTTCACAGCATCTTGAGGTCTAAAGGTTGCCTACCTCTGCTTTGGGGTCATGTTTTTAGACCAGTCTCAAGGGACCATAGGATTTATCAATTTCCCCACTGGAACAGAGCAGAGTAATCATTAAAACCAAGGTTATAGTCTCTGAAGATTTCTTTTGTTCTACTAGGATAATCATTCAAACCAAGGTTATATTCTCTGAAAATTCCTTTGTTCTAGAGCCTTCTCCGTGTTTTTCCTTTATATTTCCCTCAAATTCTCTAGAGTCCATGGTTTTTTCTCTCCATTACTCCCAACCACAATCCCCACATTCATTATTTCAGGATCTTGTCTTTGGTTTTCTCTGTATGTTTTACCTTCTTGCTTTTCTCATTAGTGTAATCATTTCTTTCTAGACTGCTCCACATTCCACACTCTCTAGACTGGTTTACACTTCCTTTATTCCTGTCTTTTCCTTATTAACGATTTTTTTTCCATGTCAACTGGTTTTTTCTTCCTCTGTGTATCTGTGTTTGTCTTTCTAGGCAGCTGTTTCATTCTAGTACTCCCTGTTTCTCTTCCTAAATGTGTTTCTTATATCTCACTTTCCTTTATAAATGATTTCTTATTATAGGTTGTCTTTCCATCCAACATTCCACCATTCTTCTCCTCTTTCACCGACTCCTTATGTTTAAGGATTTTTTGGTTTCCCAGACTCTCTCTGTTAGGATCACCTTGTCTCTTTCTGGACCCCTGTCTCTGTTTTACAGCTGTTCTCTATCTTTGCCTTCGCAACTTGTGGAAGTTATTCCGGACAGTTCAGTCTGAGCATTGAATGTACCAACAAAAATGAAAGCAAGCCGAACATTAAAGTGGACTTTGAATACCCCTTTAAGTGAGTAGGAGCAGTAAATCTGAGTCTTGTTGCAAATCTTATTACTTATTCCTTTACTTCACGTTGTACTATTTAAGCTACATGTATAAGTTGTTTTTTTTTTGTTTTGTTTTTCGGGTTTTGTTCTCTCAAATTACTTCTCTCAATCTTTTTTATTCTCTGTTGTCCCTCCTTCTCTTATGACTCGTTGACCTGCCTTTCAAAACCTATAAATATCTAAAGTTGCTATTTATTTTGTTGTTACTTCTTTTGTATTTTAACAAGACTTAGCGACCTGTTTGCGAACTAATTCCACTTTACATTTTCATTTTCCACAGGCTGCACCAGGAGTATTTTGATGCCCCCACTTGCCAAGGTGGAGCATCTACCCAAGTCTTTTTGGTCGGAGATTACTCATCCTCTGCAGAATTCTTTGTCACGGTGGCTGTCTTTGCCTTTCTTTACTCGCTCGGGGCGATGGTTATGTACATATTCCTACAGAACAAATATCGTGAGAACAACAAAGGTCCCATGATTGTAAGATAATCCATAGAGGCTCAGGAGAATCCAGATTAAAATATTCCATCAAACGTGGGGTTAAGTGGTTGTGGTGGGAAGGGACACACTGCTCCTTTCTATATCCATCCTATGGCTATCCTACTTCTCCTCCAATACCTTTACATCCAATGGCATCTTATTCTGCCCATCCGTTGTCTTACCCTACCCTCTCTTTCCCTTCCGCTACCCTTTCCTTTGCCATCTACTACACCATTTATTTCCAACCCATCTTACTCGCTATCCCTCTCTTCTACTGTCTACTCTTCCTCCTTAGGACTGCATAGTGACAGCTGTTTTCACCTTCCTATGGCTGGTCAGTTCCAGTGCTTGGGCCAAAGGCCTGTCTGACATCAAGCTTGCAACCGATCCTGAACTTGTCATGAAAAGCCGGATCCCTGCATGTGAGAAAGATGAAGCAAAGTGTCAGGAGCTGAGTGATCCTGTTATGTCTGGGCTTAATACCTCTGTGGTGAGTAATTGCTACGGTCCCCATTGCTCTGGTATCTTGATGGCAACCCTTTAAGCACCACTGCCATCAAGTGGTCACATTGTGTATTATTGAATTATTTTATGATAGTGATTCAGGATGGATTTTTTTTTCCTGGTATTTAATTTCCGTCCTGTTCGATTGAATAACTCAAATGAGCTTCCCATGGAGAAATTGAGAACTACAGTGCATATACATATAAATATAAAAGTAGAGATTCACCCAAAAAAAATAATAGAATCTGAAAATCTCTATATGGTATTTTACTTAAAATATGTTTTCCTATGCATCAAACTCTTCAAAACCCTGGACTAGATTTTCAAAATAATATTAATAATAATAAATGGACAAGCCAATCAGTATAGGAAGATCTAGTACATTTTGCCAATCAGGAAGAGGAGATGCGGTGCATGCTGACAAACTACATCTTCTAAGCGTGAAAAGCAACTCTATCCAAATATGTTATTAAGAAAATTTAAGAATCAATGGTCCCAAAGAATGTGAAGTGGTTATATAGGAAAAAATGTGTAGCTTTTGATTTTACCTTGCATCTTTATGTGGTTGTGCCTTGTATATAATCTATGGGACTGTACACTGTTTAATTATGAAGGTAATACAATTACATATCTATGGCTAATTGTAAACATGGGATATTTTGATCATGGACATTTACGCTGGCATCAATAATCATTACTGCAACAGAAACTACAAGCTTATCTGCCTTATCTTATTTGTTCCTTGTACCAGTGAACACAGAGAGGTCTAATCACTAATGTCCAGATATTTATCTCCTCATACTTAATATGGAGAGTTTAGGGGGCTCCCTCTTTGGGCGTTTAGTAGTTCAATGAGCAGCTGAACTAAAGTGGAATTTATCTCAAACACAGTTACATCCGAGTTCATTTGAAAACAGCTAAGCTGGAACTTCCTGTTTGAAATGATCAAGTGTTTGGCACTTTTGAGAAACTAATTAGTGCATTTTATTGAAATTGAACTTAAAGTAACAAGAATGTATCTATCACACTACTTATACCAGTACAACAACTTATTATCTACAATTCAGCATTTACACAATTGCCCACTCACAATGCCCCTAGCATTGCAGGATGTCTATACTGTCCTAATGTGTTTTACACCCCACCTCCTATAGAATGTAAGCTCGATTGAGCAGGGTCCTCTTCAACCTATTGTTCCTGTAAGTTTATTTGTAATTGTCCTATTTATAGTTAAATCCCCTTTCATAATATTGTAAAGTGCTACGGAATCTGTTGGCGCTATATAAATGGCAATAATAATAATACAGGAAGTGGTGGCTTATGCTGGAATGCAGAGCTTGATCAACCAGAGTCATGACACGGAAATGTACCTGGCTCGGAGTATGTGTCTCATTGCCATGTTGTGGGAGTTGGCTGACCCGACTTCCTCTCACTCATAAGCGGTATCATGATTGACAGACCCAGGAGAAAGTGACATAATGTCACATAATTCCAGCACTGTGAGGTAGGATGCTACGAGGGAGAGCAATAAAGCTGTTTCTGCTGCTGGTAATGCAGAGATAGCGTGTTCCCCAATTGACAATGCAGACATTCTAATCCCTTTTTCCCTCCTCAACCCCTAGAGAAAGGAACACACGAGAGATGAGTCATAGTAAACATTCTATTGCAAGTGTGTGTGTGTGTACATCCATAGAGAATCTCATTTTAAAATATAACTTTTAATAGAGACATTTAAAACGTCCCACAGGGGGATCTATAAATCTAATCCAAATATGGGGTGCTCTAGAATAACAAGAAGTGAAAAATAGAGATGAAAATGAGACATACTAAAGAGAAAGAATAGTTATATATAACTGTTAATGCTGAAGTATCAATGTATCTCTCTAAATGGATGGGCTTCAATTGATATCAGTGATAAACATTACACATTTAGGGAGATATGGATGGATGTAGGTATATTTTAGTTTAAACATTAGATAGTAATGTATCAAATGTCCCACTGGACACCATGAAAAATAACTATTGCAACAATGTATAACAAAGCCCTGTAAGGGATAAATTACATACCGAGCAGGTTGAATGTTTACCCTAAAAAAATAGTATAGATAAGGGTAATTTGAACCTACAGACCGATATCTGTGAATTCATGGATGGGAGCACAGGGAGGGTGAATGCACCGGTTGATCCCTAAATTTGTCTAGTAATTAAAATAGAAATGTCTAATCCCTGCATATTTGACAACCGGCACATGTCCCTTCCATGTATCCAGATCCAATTAAGAACATTGAAGGGGTAATCTTTTAAAAAGGAACTGTCCATAATGAGATTGTTGTACAACCCAATACCGCTCCAAAGGTTGGCCTGTTGTAGTGTTTATGATGCCAACGTTCCCCTGGTGCCATCCCCCAATTCTTTGTCAAACCGTTTTCAAGCAGGTTGCCACAAACCAAGGGCTTGGGTCAGCCCATAGCTCTCAACCTGTCATTGGTATGTGACAGCACTCCTAGACCACAGCATCATAACTACTACAATGAGTTGTAGTGCCTACAGTGCTTGGAATGCCACTCGAATCTTCATTACAGGCTTTTGAGATTAAAAGATACGGATTGTAGGTACTAATCACAATGACCATGCAAGTGTACACATTGTGATTTCTCATTTTTACCATGTCTGTTACTCATTGCTGGGCCACTGTATTGATTTACTAATTCCATTTTCACAGGCCTTTGGATTTTTGAACTGCATCCTGTGGCTGGGAAACCTCTGGTTTGTATTTAAAGAGACTGGATGGACAGCTCCATTCATGAAGTATCCTCCACCACCCCAGGAGAAACAGCCAGCTCCTGACACTTACACCCAGGCACAGGGATATGGTCAGCAAGACACGTATGGACAGCAAGCTGGATACCAGCCCGACTACTATGGCCAGCAACCCGACTACAATCAACAGGGTTACACCCAACCGGCGGGATACACCCAACAAGGCGTCCCCACCTCCTTTTCCAACCAGATGTAGATGGTAAGGTTCTGTATTCTTGGCCAGCACCATTACTTAACAAAAGCATGAGATCACCAAACCCTGAACAATAGTAGATATGTACACACATCAAAAAGTCTGTACACACAACATACACACTCCTATAAAAAACCCATGTGGAAAGCAGATTTGTTGTATGTGCCATCATCATTAGAAATTCATACTAGACAAAGGGCATTATTTTCTAAACCCAAGAAGATGACAGAACCAAGCAGTATTGATACCCTGGCCATACCATATTAACCACATGAGATTATACCTTTCCAGGAAGGAATGAGCTAGAGGTGAAAACCAATTAGATGCATAGTCTAGTATAGCAGGGAGATTTGTGCTCCAGAGGCACTAATCTCTGTGTTGCTATAGTGTGAACCATGACTAGGGCTCAGGGATGTAAATTAATGTTCTGGTACCCTAGGTCACAGGGAAATTAAAACTATGGAATAATAAAATAAGGAGGGAGCTATAGATTTCCCGAATCACTCTTCCTTGTTTACCCAAAATTAAGATTCATCTTCAGTTGCTCTTTAAGGAACACTGTCATACCCAAAACATTGAGCAATGTGGTTAACCTTTAGGCCATCTACACATTTAATCTATACAAAGTGCTGGTAAGGTCACCAGCAAATGTAAAGGTTAATAGATGCTGTGTGCACTATATTTATCTACTACAGCCCATTGTAGGCAAAATAGTGCAGTGAGTCGTTGGGTACCATGCTCTGATTTTCTATTAAATATTTTGGAACAATTTGACAAAACTTAAGCCTCATTTACATCGTTACATAGCTGAAAAGAGACTTTCATCAAGTTCAGCCTTCCTCACATTTGGTTTTTGCTGTTGATCCAAAAGAAGACAAAAAAAAAACTATTTTTAATCACCAAAGCCCACTAGTTCTGCAGCCAGACAGGTAATGCTAAAACTTCACGTTATCTATCCAAAGCCTCCCACAGAGCACACAGTTTATGATTATAATCCAAAATTGGACAGATCACGTGAAAGTGTATGTTTCCTGATATCCCTGTGACTGCAGAGGGGCGGAGCTTTGGGTGCTGGAGAGACCCTTAGTTATTATCAACCACTCCTAAATATTTTGACAGAAAACTAGGGGACAGTGCCAAAGACTCATTGCACCATAACCACTACATTGAACTGTTTCGGATATGGAGTTTAGAGTAACCCTTTAAAATAAAGATATTAATTTAATCTGCACAAGGTAACATAAATCCTAGCACAACTTATACAATTAGATTTGTAAAACTAGAACATGGGGTTTTACAACTTAATGTCTCTTTAAGAACTAAGCTGAGAGAGGCCACAGAACATTGCTGTTTAATATATACTGAGTTTTATGGCTGCACTATTATATATATCTTTATATTACTGTGTTTAGTGCTCTCTCGTTTTATGCTCGTCCATCTCTTGTTTGCTCATCCCTATTACTACTTTTCTCTGTCTTCCCCCTTTCTACATTTTGTACTTTGCTCCTTTCTCTTTTCTGTCTTTATCCCCTCCTTCCTTCATTTTCTATTTTTCTCCCTTTTCACAGTCCCTCTCCACACCTCTTTTTTACCTATCACTCACCCATCCTTCCTTTTTCACTTTCACCCAGTGTCCTTCATCCCACCTGCTTCCCGATGTTTATTCCTTTTGCTATATCACTGGTTCTACTTATCCCTATCTATATTCCCAATACTTCATCTCCTCTTTTCTATCCATCTTTCTTTCACCCATTCCTTCTTTTGATTCTTTCCCCTTTCTTTCTACCCACATTTCCATCCACTCTAAATTCATCCTTTTTTTCTTTTCTGTCTCTACCTTCCCCTGCCTTCTCTCTCTTTTCTACGCTTCCCAAATCACACTATGTATTCTTTGGTCCCTCTTGCTTTCACTTTTTCATTCTTTTTCTCCTCCTCTATCTTTACATACATTCTCATCATACCCCCTTCCTCTTTTCCTTTCTGACCCCCCTCCTTCTCTGTCTCTCTTCCTCACTCTCCCTTCTTCCTTACAGGCTTCTCCAAGGCTGACGAGTGAGCTTCTTCTTCTGGTTGTAATGTTCTGATGTGCAGTGCTGCAGCCCAGCTGCCCAAGTGAAAATCCATGGGAGAATGTTGTGTCTGTGATGTTTATATAATATAATATATTATAATATATATATTTAATGATATATATCTGTACCAAAACACAGGAAAATCCCATCTCATTCTATCAGAGACTGTCTTCCTGCAAAGCATTGCTGTTTGATCCTCTCCATGTCACAGTCCTGCAGAGCAATGTAATCCTTTTTATTTTTCTGACAGAGCCTGGATGAACACTAATGTAATAGTTCTTTTTTTTTCCAACCAGAGAGATCCAGAATTTTTTTTTTTTATGTCCCCCATTATTAGTTAAAAAAAATAAAATAATAATAATAGTATTGTGACGTCAAAAAGTGATTTATAGAATAATCAATCAGTCTCTCTGGTAGGGAAGGATTTTTGCTTTATATATTTATTTGTAAACAGTTGTTAATTTATTTATGAAATAGTGCCCTGTAGAACAGAATTATGAGAGTTCTGAAGCTTTTTCTGATTAGTTGGTTATTTCCTCTAGAACTTAGTGATGTCTGCACTTTGCTATGTAGGTCCTTCTTGCGCCATAAGGGATCGATGCAGAATTGATGTATGGGAACTTTCTGTTTAATGCCCTGTGTATTTTGGGTGGGTTGGGTTGGCACAGGCCGGGTATATATGCCATAGCAGCCCTGGTGCTGAATTGGTGTGCAACAAAATAAATGTGGGAGAGTTATGAGCGCCCCCTTCCCATACTCCCCGCCTCCTCCGTGCACTGCTGGGTACTGAACACCCCTTTTTATCATCCATGCCCTAATCCATTATTGCCAGCTTCATCCCTAAACTACCCATGCCTGGTACCCCTTGTGCTGTATATCGTGTTAGTGACACTGAAGTTGCGTGTTGTAATCCTGACTGGAAATAAAGACAGGCTGGAAACAATCTTGTGTGTCTGTAATTATTTACAACTGATTTTCTAATGCTTGGTGGCACATAAATAAAATATTTGGTAAAGCTGTCAAACTAATAATCTTTAGATGTTCCAAACTGTCAAACAAGCCAGTTCTATCCATGTATTCACTGATTTCACGGACACTTTTCAGATTTTCCGCAATTTTTGGGTGTGATTTATTAAATGGACGTTTTCAACTGTTGCTCTTTTGAATATGTGCTATTTTTATGATGACATAACAGATTCATGAATATTTCCACCCGTTTTTCAGACAGAAGAGTGGCAGAATTTTTCCACCCACTATTGATTTGTCATTCTTCCAAAATAGAAAATTTACCATAGGAGGAATTTACCATAGCGAAAACTGTCACTTTTTAGATCACTTTAATAAATACGAACAAAATAATGACGGAATTTAGCCACCTCTTTACAGAACACCTAGTTAACTATATTCCTATGCCACCACCTCTATATTTATATGCAGAAGAACTGAATTTGGCCACCTACTCAGTTAGATTAATCATGCTTTGTTACACATGGGCACTGGGAATAGAAACTCTTTACTGTTTTTTGGAGGGGAGGGTTGCCAAAGAACCTACTGTGTTGTTAGGATAGGTCGTCACCCAGTACGCAGAATACTCACACGGGACAAGTAAAAATAGACATTACCGGACCTTACAAATGGTCAGGGTTAACGTACATAGAATAAGCAATGTCAAGATACAAGCCAAATGTCAGTGATAATAGAGGTACACAAAACAAGCTAATGGTCAGGAATACAGAAATCGGAATTGTTCAGACAAGTAGGGATCAGAAATTAAGCGATTATGGAATGCACTCTGGGATAACCAAAAAGGAAGCCACGGGGAATTGAACTAATGCAAATCTCGAGTATTTATAGGCCTGGAGCGTTTCCTTGATAGCCACACCCTTAAACGTGACTGGGTGTTGGCAATTATGTAATTTTGCGGTGATGATGTTGTTAAGTGGACATGGCTTTTGTGTCAAAGAAGGGGAGGGGCTAAAGTGTTTGGCGTCTGAATCGCTGGCAACTGTGTGTGTTACACATGTGGTATGTTGTTACACCAGCGATATGTTGGTTCTACATCTCATTGCACTGTAAGTGACCCCCCCACCCTCTCGGTGAGACCTGGCAGCAATTCTGCTCTTCTTCCTGCTCTGCCTGTGCGGTGCTGTGTGTGAGGGGAAGAGACGGGGCTGGAGGATGGGAAGTGGCATCTCTCCTCTCAAGCTGAGTGCTCCTTGAAGGTGAGCTCTATTAATATAATGAGCAGCATGACAGAGACAGCAATCAGCAGATATGTAAGCTTCTTGTAAATATTATAGACTGCACCCACTACAGCCCCCATCTCTTTCCGCACCCACTAGAGCCCATGTGCCTTCCTGCATCAACCTCAGGCTCTATCCCTCTCTGTACCCACCACACCCACCAAAGCCACAATTATTCATATAAACACACACACACACACACAACAGCTTCAGTATACCCCAGACACCTACAACACCCTCTATCCCACACACATACAACATCCATTATCCACACACTCTGCAACACAATCAGCCACACACGCAAACCCACAAGGAGCCTCAGTGTATGCACATAATCAGCATCCCTACACACACACACACCCACATTACAAGCAGAATCTCCACTGTTGCAATACTGCATACAGCCTCCTTACACACACACACACACAATTATTACAATTATTACAATCAATAGGACTAACATATTCTGCAGCGCTGTACAATAGATAAAGCAACACAAACGACTAATTCTAGCACAAGATGCTGACATACAGGAACACAACATCACAAGCAGCATCCCACATGCAACCTCACAAGTAGCCACCAAACACGTCTGGTTGCACATGTGGGGGATGCTGCTTGTGATGTCACCAGCAAACACAGAGGAAGTGTGTAATTAAATATGCTTTATTTCATTATTTTAATGAGG